TTTTTTTTAAATATTTTTATTTTGACCAAATTGTCCTGTCCTCTCTGGAGGGAGGTCTGGGGAGGCTGGGTCTTGGGCTGTACGCATGGGGCTGTGCGGGGTCCTGCGGGGAAGAGAGCTGTCAGGGAGTCTGAGGGGGCTCACTCACTCTGTGGCCCCACAGCATCTGCAGCTGGTCCGACAGGAGATGGCCGTGTGCCCTGAGCAGCTGAGCGAGTTCCTGGACTCCCTGCGACAGTACCTGCGGGGCACCGCTGGAGCCAGGAACTGCTTCCAGTGAGTGAGCTGCTGGGCTGGGTGGTAGTGCAGAGCTCTGCCTCAGGGTAGACAGGGCAGGACCACCAAGGACAGCCCCTACCCCAGAGTAGGGTTCAAGTCCTAGCTGAGGTTCTTCCCCACTATGCAAGTGTAGCGAGTGACTTCATCTCCTGGACCTCAGCTTGCTCATCTGTAGAATGGGAGCACTGACTGGACTCACTCCCTAGGGTTGTTGGAGGCGTAAACAGAAGGATGAATGTGAAGGGCTGAGGCCAGCGCCTGGTGTGCAGTGTTGCTTAATGTCAGCTGCTACTTTTACTGTGTGGCTGCCCCTCGATGCCTCACCCTCTGGTCCCTGCTGCTGAGGCCTGCATTGCTTCTCAGCAAAGCTGAAGCGGGTGGTCATGGCTATGTCAGATTGGGCCACAAAAGATGGCAGCCCTTACCCTTGCTGGGGGTGGTACCAGAGGGCTGTTGGCCCTCTCCCCTCCCATCCTGAGCCCACCCATCTATGCCGAGAACAGTAGCTGTGGCCTCTGTGCCATTATCTGCCTTGATTCTGTCTCCAGTTTGCCTTTTCCAACTTGAGAGCATGTGTGCCTGCACCCTGCTTCCCAGGGGCCTGGCCCTGGGGATGCAGCCTCGAATCAGGTGGCTGCTGTTGCCAAACATTTATTCTAGGTGGTGGGAGGGGGCCGAGGAAGGGTGATGAGTGCTATGGAGGCCAAGCAGCAGGCTCCTTTGAGAGAAGGTAGGGGCTCTGAGGAGTGGAGAGGCTGCACATGCACTGAGGCCTGAGCAGAATCGGAGCAAGGGCGCTGTGTTTAAGAAGGAAGCTGCTGTTGTGTCTGGACAAAGGGGCGGGGACGAGGGTGAGGGCCAGGGCTGGCGGGCAGGGCCCACTCACCTGTGCCCTGCTCATCTGGAGTACAGTGGACCGTACTGGAGGTGTGTAAGCAGGAGTGAGACACGGTCTGGTATCCTTTTTGTGCAGGAGGAGGCCAGAGTGAGGCCCTGTGGTCACCCAGGGAGGGGGCTTGGCCTGGGGGGATATGGTTAGAGCTGGGATCTGTTTTTGACGACAGCTGGCTGACCTGCTGGCGGCTGGGAGAAGGTTGTGGAAAGAGGAGACAAGGCAGAATCTGAGATTGTCTGGCTTCAGAAACTTGATCAAGGCTGGTGTTGTGTACTGACCTAGAGGAGTCAGGGAGGTCAGGCATGCTGGTGTAGGGGAGTCACACAGGCCATTTGGGCCACATTAAATTTGAGATGCCAGGCAAGGTACCACCATAGGAGTGTGCAGATCCTGGCAGAGGCCGGGCTGGGGAGTGGTGGGTGTGCAGATGGCACCTAAAGCCATACCAGCTGCATACTTACTGCAGGGGAGAAAGGGGACCAGGGCTAGGTGGAGTGGAGTGGTGAGGGGCCCAGCCCCCCTCCTCTGCACACGGGCATACTCAGTAGGGCTTCACACTGTTCTCCCTGTACCCCATGCCTGCCTGATGTCTTCCTTCCCTTTCAGAACCCCCCCCCAAAAAAAACAATCTGCCTTTTCCCATGAGCAAACGCAGTCACCACAATTGCTTTCATCTTGCTGCAGTTACCAAACTGCTCCAGTGACCTTTGTCACAGAGAAAGCGCCTTCTGGATCTGGCAGAGGGCCATGGCTATATCTGATTAGAGGGCGGCACGCATCCCCAATCCCCCATCCTCTCATCGAATTACGAGCCCTCAGCTCCACCTGTAATTTTAGCTGGAGCATAATGAACTAATGATACTATTAGCGGCCTTGTTTCCCTGCTTCTATCCTGATGGCAAAACCTGGAACTGCCTGTAATTATACAGCAGCCGCCACCCATGACAGAGCTCCCCTCGAGGACTGCTCGGGGTTCTGTTCTGCTGAGCACGTGAAAAGAGAAGCAGCCGGGAGAGCGGGCAGGAGGCCAGAGTGGGCAGCGTTAGAGATGATGTAACTTGGAGGTCAGCCCTCAGTCCCCCAGGTCTGCCACATTCTTGGAAGCACCCCTTTGCTTCCTGTTAGCCCCAATCCTATTTAAAACAAGGTGAGTGGCCTGCTGCCGTCACACAGGTAACGCAGGAGTGACCTGGGACCAGCAGGACCACTGACCCAGGGCGAGGCCCTGCCCCAGCCTCAGTTGGCCAATTCTGACTCACAGGGTAGTTTTAAGGATTAGAGGAGATGATGATTATGAAGGAGACAGTGACAAGAGAAAATGAATATTCAGCCTTTAAAATACTTCATAATAATTCATTCAACAAACATGTATTGGCCACTGTCTGGGGCCTGGCCTTGCTCTGGGGGCACCCTGTCCAGATTCGTTTGAGGGCAGTGGTGACAGAAGGGATGGGGGAACCCAGTGTGGGCAGGACCACTCACTGTGACCCGTCCCTCCCCTTGCAGCATCGCCGCTGGGAGGCTCTCGGACGGCTTCACCTTCGTGGTATACGAGTTCTGGGAGACAGAGGAGGAATGGAAGAGGTAAGCATGGCCATGTCCACTCACGCCAGGCCTGCAGCAGTTGGTGGGGTGATGGAAATCGGGGAGGTGAGGCTGCCCCAGCCCCTTTTTGTGTCCCAGATGGTGTGAGAGGGGATGAGGGGGAAGAGAGGGGAGGGTAATAATGTGCCCAGGTTCCAGCAGCATCCACCACCCAGAATGCTGGCCTCATGGGCAGATGTGCCCTGGAGCCAGTGGGAAGCATGTCTCAGCTTGGAGTGTGAGCCTGATCCCACTCAGCTGGGCCCTGAATCCAGGGCCCTGGCCTTGAGGGCTGAGGCCGCTCTTGTTTGAAAACTGCATAAAAATCCAGAAAAGTTATCTCACTAGGGACTCTCACTGGGAGGCAAGAAATAGGCCGTTCTTCCCCCCAAACCTGCCACTCTCAGGGGCCCCAGCGATCACCTCCCTGGGGCCTGACCACCTTACCTTCATATGCTGGCACTGAGCCCCTAGCTTGGCTGACTGGTGGTTAAGCCTCCACCACAGCCTGAGCACCCAAGGGCCCACCAGTGTCTCCCTGGGTTACAGGCACCTGCAGAGCCCCGTGTGCAAGGCGTTCCGGCACGTCAAGGTGGACACACTGAGCCAGCCAGAGGCCCTCTCCAGGATCTCAGTGCCAGGTAGAGGGTGGCAGGAAGAGGCCTGGAGCAGCAGGGGGGTGCCACCAGTCCCTGGTTCCCCACAGGAGCAGCCACCACCGCCAGGCACAGATGGCTGAGTTGAAGGAAGGACAAGGCCCCAATCTTCCAATGACCCTTTATTTTGCTTCCTTAGCTGCCAGGAACTATAGTCCCCAAGTGAGTGCTCAACATCAGTGCCAGGTGTGCAGACAGGGTCCTAGAGCTGAGGGGGCTGGGGCCAGAGTGTCAGGACAGGGCCAAAGACACATGTTGGCCCTACAACCTCAGAACAACAGGAAGGGTTGCAGGAACAAGGCATAAGACAAGACCAAAGGCGAGGTCATGGGGAAGGTGGGCCCAGGGCGTGCCCCCCAGTCCAGAGCCCAACTGACATCCCCTCCCCAGGGATGATTCACCACCAGGATAGCCAGCAAGCACCTGTGCACCCCACAAAGAGCCCAAAGCCTTGCTTTGTGTGCCCCCCCAGCCTCCTCTCTGCACTGGAGACCAGCCTGGGACACACAGGGTTGGCCCTGGATGAAGGAAGGGATATGCTGGCAGGGCTGCTCTCCTGCCCTGAGCACGTGTGTTTCAAGGGTGCAGGGGAGGTCTGCGCCTCACTGCAGCCCCCATGGGGAAGCGGCTACAGGTCCCCAACAACCTTCTCTGCTTCACATGTCTCTCTCTCCTGCCCCATCACTAGCTGCCTGGTGCACGGTGGGCCGAGACTGACCAGCTCCCCAACGCCCTACGGATGATCCTGGCACCCTGCTCTCTCTCCTTATGAAGGACATCCCTTCTTTTCTAGAAACTTTGGTATATGAGCTGTCTTTTTCATATACTTCCAAACAAGAATGTATTTTCCCACTGTTAGACATGAAGGCGAACCCCCTTCCCCAGCATCCCCACACCTCCCACCCTTGTTGGCAGAGCAGCTCTGAGCTGCTGCGGCCCTGCTGAAGCCAGAGCCTGTGGTGATGGTGACAGGGAGGGTTCCTGGAGCCAGCTCCCTTACCCGAATCCAATGGCCATGCATGTCCAGCCCCCACCACACCCACCTACTCTGGCCTCAGCAAGACTCACTCCGCCACAGGCACCCCACCTCTCCCTCCATCTCCCCCATTCCTGTCTACATTCCTCTACCTGATAGGAGCCAAGACCCTGTAGTGCCCAACTAGGCCTGTGCCAAGTCTGCACGCGGCAGTAGAGCCCACATAGCCAGTGCCACATTAGGCAAACAGCTGCCGCAACAAGCACCAAATAAACTCCAGTTGGAAACAGTCCCATGGCCTGTGTTTCTACTTCCCATTCTCTAGCTGATAACAGCCAGAGGAGTGACGCTGTCGGGATGCATGGGGCCCCTTATTAGCCATGAAACCTGGACCAAGTCACCCAGGGCCTCAGTTTTCTTAGCTGAGAAATAGAGGTAATAATCAACGCAGTGCATGTTTTGATAAATAAGTTTGTTCCTCTTACAAACCTCAGGGTTCTCAAGACCACACTCAGTTTCAGTAATTCACTGGAAGGACTCATCGAAGCCATGATGCTCGTGGTCACGGGTCATGGCAGCGAAAGGGTACCGACCAAAAGCAGCAAAGGGAAGAGGCAGGCGCACGAGTCAGGTCCAGGAGATCCCAGGTGCAGGGCCCAAAGCTGTCCCCTCCCAGTGGAGTGGTGCAGAAAGCACTTCTGTCCCAGCACTAATGGGTGACATTTTGCACAAAGTATTGCCAACCAGGGACACTCACCAGAACCTCGATGATGAGAGTTTTCATTGGGGTTGGTCATGTAGACACAGCTGACCTTGACCTCCAGTTCCTCTGAAGGTCGGGCTGATACCTTAAGGCCCAGGGTCCTAGAGGTCACCTCCCAGGAGCTGAGCACAAAGGCCAGACCTCTGGGCACAGTTCGTCTTCCTGCACACCTGTCAAGGAGCTCTTCCAACAGGACAGGAGACAAGCCCCTGGACGTGAAATAATAGTTAAGTACTATTCTGGAACCATTGTGACATCCCCCCTTCTATTTCCCTGTCCTGGTTACCAGGAAAGATGTCATACACAAAAATCTCAAGGGACAAAGAAGGCGAGAGCCTTGGGTACCTCTCCTAAGGTACAATGGGGGGGGGGGCAGTGGGGGACATTTACTAAGAGCAGTAGTACATGAGGGAGGAGGAGACAGGCCCTAAAACAGGGTAGCTGTGTTGGCCCAGTGGGAGCCCTGGGTAGGCTGGACCCAGGTTGTGCGTCTTTCTACCTCCTGCTCTGAGCCTGGAGCAGCCAGCCTGTGAAACGTGGCAGTTTACGCCATCAAATTGGGCGAGGTTCTGCCCACACTGCCCTGCCTCCTCCGGCTGCCTAGAACCTTGACGTTCCTGCTCACCAAGGCAGATCCCTCCAGCCTTGGTCCTGCCACTTGTGCAATACCAGTAAAACAATGTGGGCTTGTAGGAAGAGTAAAACGCACATTCAGGTTCCAGCTGTGCATCTCTGGGCCTGCTTTCCTTGCAGCCAGCCTCTCAGAACCTCTTCCTCGTCTGTAAAGTGGGGAGAAGACCCCCTACTTTGAAGATCAGGAACTGCCTGGCTCATGAGACCACTGCACGGGGTCCTGCTGAGGCATCAGCAAGCTCACCCAGCCCACCTCACCCCAAAGCTGGTACTGTTTACATCAGCCCAGCTATTTAAAAAGTACTCTTTACAGGGGCTGAGACTCTTTGGGGTGCAGCTGAGGAACACCACCAGCTGGTGTTACACTTCTGCCACACATCACACCGCCTGCCTGAGCTCCCCCCACATTGTAGCCTCTCTGCTGACTGCAGCCCACAAGCAACTTAGGGCCTCCTTGATTCTGAGTGGGTGGAAACGAGCTCTGAAGAGAACAAATTTCAACCTTAAAAGGTAGGAGAGCTCCCACTTAATGTATACTACAGAGGCAGGCACTAGGAAGGCGCTGTCTCACTCAGTGCTGCCTGTGCCATCCTGTGATCGGCTGGTGGGGAAATGAACACAGAGAGGGCAAGTAACTCACCAGAGGTCACACAGCAAGTAGCACCACTTATATCCAAACCCAGAGCTATCACCCTCCAGCCATGTGTCCTGACCCCTGCGCCACACAGCATAGATACGTGGGGAAAAACAGCTCCAGGTTAATACATTAAAATCCCAGTCAGTTTCCTCTAACAGTTAAAAGGCAGAATTACTGTATGACTCAGCTGTTCCACTCCTGGGTATGTCTGTATGTACTAAGCCCAAAAGAATTGAAAAGACACATTGAAGCAAATGCGCACAAATGTTCATGACAGCACGATTCTCAATGGCCAAAAGGCTGAAACAACCCAAATGCCTACCAACTGGTGATGGAGAAACAAAATGTGCTCCATCCACACAATGGAATACTATTCAGCCATGAAAAGGAAGGAAGCTCTGACACGTTGCAACGTGGATGAGCCTTGAAAACATTATTCTGAATGAAAGGAGCCAGTCACAATGGACATTATATGATCCCATTCATACAAAACGTCTAGAGTAGTTAAACTGACAGAAACAGAGGGACTCTTGGTTGCCGGAGGCTGGGGAAAGAGGAAGTGGGGAGTGACTGCTAATGGGTACGTGGCTTCTTTGGGATGGTGAAAATGTTTTGGGACCAGATGCAGGTGGTGGTTACACAACACTGAGAATACACTAAATGCCACTGGATGGTGCACTAAAATGGTCATGCTTTTTCTCATCTGTGACTCTCCGTGAATGGTCCCAGCACAGCCCCAGCCTTCCTGGCCAGCACCCCGGCACTTGTAGGAAACACACGGGGTACAACTAATAAATGACTGACTACCCATTCTCACTGCCAGCACCTGGGTGATAAATGCCCCATCAAAGCAATTCTGCCCCGACACATGTCCTTGTCCAAGAGGACGTCATGGCCACTAAACACAGGCTCTGGCAGATGAAGTGGGGGCTGGGCGCAAGGGTCCTGTTTCCCTCTCACTGGGTCAGAGTCTACACCTGCAACCACAACTCCTCGCCTCCACCAGCAGCCAGGGTGGAGGAGGGAAGAGGGCCCATCCCTGCCCGTGGACTCAGGCACACCGGTTCCCACCCCCTTGGCCACTCCAGGAGTGGAGTGAGAAGTGGAAAGGAAATGGAAGAGGGAATATAACCAAAATCGGCCCCAATTCTAACTTTCTACCTCTCAGGACAGGCAGCCTTGATTTTTCCAAGCCTCAGTTGCCTCACCTGTAAAATGGACTATTTGAAAGCATTATAGTAAGTCAAAGAAGCCAGACACAAAGGCCACATAGTGTATGAACCCATTTACAGGAGATGCTAAGAAGATAAATCCACAGAGACAGAGCAAATTAGTGGTTACAGGGACTGAGGGGAGGGGGAATGGGGAGTGACTGCAGACAGGTGCAGGGTTTCTTTGGGGGTGATGGACTGGAATTCCATACTGGTGATGGCTATACAACTCTGTGTGTTGACTAACGCCCACTAAACTATACACTTTAAAAGGGTGAATTTTTTGGTATTTGAATTCTGTCTCAAAAAAGATAATAATGCAGGTGCACAAGCTGGAAAAAACAAAAACCAGTTCTATCACCACCAACCTCACACATAACAAAGAGAACCTACCCTGAGGGAAATGTCCTGGAGACTTCAGCTCCCCTGGCACCACTGGCTTCTACCAGACGTCTGAGGTGGAGGAAGAATGGCCTGAATCGAGAAACATGCAGGACGTCCTGGGCCTGTGCAGGGTCAGTGCCAGCAAGCACAGCAACATGGGGGAGCAGCTGGACCCCTGTGCACCTCTCCACCCCCATCTCTTCTCCCCTACCCTGGCCCCAGGGCAGACCCTTGCTCCCTCATTTTTAGCCGCAGGTGGGACTCCTCGTTGCAGAGTTGGTTTGGGGTTGGGAGGGTACTATGGAGAGAACAGTCTGCTTGGCTTCCAGGCTATTCGGGTCCAGCCAGTGGAGGGAACGGGGGCTCTCTTCAGGGTACCCCCATTGGATCATGGGCCAGGTGCAAGGTGTGTGGCATTCATCTTGGGCGTCGCCTGGTCATGGGCAGGATTTCTGCATTCCCTGTGCTCAGGCTGAGGATCAGCCTGAGTCTCCCTCCATCCCCAATGGATACCCCCTGAAATCCCTTCTGGGGCTCTCGTCCACTGCGCACTACCCTCACCCTCACCCCATATCTTTGATCCCGGCACCCCACAGCAGGGCTCTCGGGATCTCGGGCCCATGAGTTGAACTATGTATCCCAGAAATATTAAGTTCAAGTCCCAACCTCTGGAACCTGTGGATGTAACCTTATTTGGAAACAGGATCTTTGCACACCCTAATTGAGTAACGATGAGGTCATACTGAATCAGGGTGGGTGCTAATCCAATGACTGTGTCCTTACAAGAGGAGAGAAAGTTGGACACAGACACAGACGGAAGAAGGCTATGTAGAGATGAGAGCAGAGACTTAGAGAGCTGCATCTACAAGCCAAGGAACACCAAGGATTCCTGGCAATCCCAGGAGCTGGAAGAGGCAGGAAGGATCCTCCCCTGCAGCCTTCAGAGGGAGTGTGGCCCTGCTTGCACCTTGACCTCTGACTCCTAGCCTCCAAGACTATGAGAATAAAATCTGCTATTTTAAGCCAGCAGCCTGTGATCATTTGTTAGGGCTGCCCCAGGACACTAAAGCTCTCCCCTCACCATTGGACCAGAGACCCTTTGAACGAGCAGAAGCCCCAGTGAGCAGCCTGAGAAGGCAGAGGTATTAGTTTCTCATCTTTATGATGGGATTACACTGGCCTCACGGCTGGGACCAGGGAGCCCCACCAGGGTGACCCATGGAGGCCCCCCTCCTGCCCAGGCATGGCTGCCCCTCACAAGAGCTCCAAGACAGCTTCCACTGTGCTCTGCCCGAAGATGAAGGTGCCAATGAGCACAGACACCACTCCCCAGGCCTCCAAGCAGCACCTGCCAAGTCAACAAATCCACGTCAGCACGCATATTTCTGGAGTTCTGCACAGACAAGCCAAGCACACGCAGAAAACGTATTTGAAGCCCAATAGCCACCGGTTTGGAAAAAAGTCAGGGTACCCTTCCTTCTGGAGGGATGGGTTCCTGAAACAGCAGGAGAGAAAGTCCCCAAGGCAATTTAAAAATCTCCAGCTGTTATTTCATAACCTCATTCCTGTCCAATATTTTATCAAAGCCGAAGAAATGGGAGGAAGGATTCACTAGTTCCAGACTCCCTTTCCATCCCTGTTCCTTTTGGGGTGGGGGGAAGAAGTCCCGAAAATAAGGGGGAAGGAGAAAGCCCTAAGTCACACACGATCAGGGCAGTGGTGAGACGAGCACGCAGGAGGCAGAGGTGGCTGGAACTGGCAGCCATCAAGGCCACGTCTCCAGCTTCATAATGTAACCAAAAGACGGTGCGACAGTGAGACAAGAACAATGATAATAAGATTCCCACAAAATGACAGGGCCACCAGAGATATTTCTGGCCCCATTAACAAAGGCCACAAGGGTCCGTTGTCATGGAAAGACCATCTTTCGTCAAGCAGCATCTCAGAGAGGCAATTTGGTGCCATAAACATCCACCCATCTGAAGTGGGGAGAGCAGGGTGACTGTGACCGGGGGCTACAGGGCTCCTCAAAGCAGCTCTGATGGATCAGAAGGCCCTAAAGCAGCTCTAGAATTAAAAATATCTTGAAAGCCTATCACTAAACTATTGTGGGCTAGGATCAGGCACAGAACAAAAGCAGCAGGACTTCAAAGAGTGCTACAGGAACAAGCTGTGCAGGGGCCCTCAGACAATTGGGAGCCAGCTCTGAGCCCAAGGCAGGGTTAGAGACACCCAGAAAAAAATTTCTCAACCCAGAAGGGAACCATGCTAAGCCTGCCACTGCAGGAAAGCCAAGCTTGGGTAGTGGGAGACAGAAGTGCTGGCTGCAGGTGGGACCCAAGTCCTTGGCTGCTGTAACTTAAGAGCATCTGTAATTGGCTGAATGGTGGTCCCCCAAACTCACATCTACCTAGAACCTGTGAATGTGACCTTATTTGGAAATAGGGCGTTTATCAGGAGGACACCAAATCCACATAAAGCTCCAACCACAGACCATAACCTTCAGAGCCAAAGGGAGGGCCAGGCACAGACTGAAAGATAACAGGCCATGGTGCTGCTGGCCTGGGTTCGAGTCCCGGCTCAGACTCCCTCTCACTGTGTGCACACACCCCTACTCCTGTGGCCAGCAGTTTTCTCATCTGGAGGATGACAGGATCTCCAGAGCCCCTACTGCGCTCACATTCCCTTCACTCAGAGCCCCTTAGAACACCCACATTGCCACCCTCACCGGGAGACACTTACTTGGCTCGCGGCCCTATTGGTTCGGTGCTGATGGCGCAGATGAGGCACAGACCTGCAGAGGAGACAGGGCCACCCAGCTCTTCATTATGGAGCCGGAGCTCTCGAGCTCAGTCAGCACCCAGCAGGGACCCGAGAGGCCAGCGAGACCTTTGCTCAGGTGGCCCCTGGCTCACCCTGCTCATGGTGAGGTAGTGTACTGTGGCGACCAAGGGCCTGGTGTGACTCAGCATCTCCCTGAAACCTTGGCCTCTCGGAGCCTGCCTTACAGGTGACAATGACAGCATACCTGCATGCCAGGGTCTCTGTGATGAGACACTCAGGGCCAGACTCGAGCCCATACCTGGGATGAGCCCAACAGCTGGCAGCTGCCATTCTCTTGCCTTTCCTTTCCCTCTTTCTTCGTTTTTTCAATAATTGTGCTGGGATTTGAAGCCAGACAGCACTGCTTAAAGCTCCATGGCATGTCCCCTACCCCAACCCTGTCCCAGCCAGTCCTTCCCAGCACGAGAAACAGCTGGAGCTAGTGGCACCACCCAGACCCCAAATGAGCATGACTGAGGCAGCAGTTGGACCAGGAGGCCAAAGGAGGAGGCGCTCTGACCTCAACAATCATCTGAAAGTGCTTCCCAGGGGCAGAGCGGAGCTGGGTGTCCCCCCGAGACCAGCACCCCCTTGTAGGGACTCCTCCTTGTAGGCAGAAGGCTCTTCGAAGGTGACGAAAGCGTGGCCCTGAGGCCTTGGCCTCCGCCGTTTCCCAGTACCCACAACCCTCCGGACACTCTGATATTCACTAACATTGGCAAGGTTCCCTAAGACATTGTTAGAAACCGTGTCTGCCTCCCAGGTCGGGGACAAAGTGGGATGAAGATTTCATGGGGTGCCTTTGAACCATATGAATTTCATGTAATTGAACACTTTTTTTTTTTAAATCCTCACCCGAGGATATTTTTTCCATTATTGCTTTTCAGAGAGAGTGGAACGGAGAGAGAGAAACATCGATGTGAGAGAGACACGCCAACTGGTTGCCTCCCACACGTGCCCCGACCGGGGCTGGGGATTCATCCCGCAGCTGAGCTACGTGCCCTTGGCTGGAACAGAACCCAAGACTCTTCAGTCCTCAGGTGGGTACTCTAACCAATGAGCCAAACCGGCTAAGACACTGGAAACACTTTTTAAAAAATGAAACAAAATCCTGCAGCGTGTGGTGGCAGCGGGAGGTGGGGAACGCTGTGCGGCTGACTCGGGCCTGCTACGCACCTGCCACGCCAGCAGGAGGCCCCAGGCCTCGCCCTGTCTGGGGTGGGGAGCTCCCTTCAGGTGCACCCATCGAGGCACAGAGATGTTTAATGAGGGAAGGTCTGCAAAGCCCCCGCCCACACCTGGCCAGTAAACAGGGCCGGGACCATCCTACCTACATGAGCTCCCACTTTCAGACCCCTGATCCCCGCCATAGGGACTCCCTGCTGAGAGGGGCATGAAAGGATAAGCAGGCAGGAGACCTGGGAAGCGGGCGCCTCACCTGGGAAGATGAAGATGAAGAAGGAACTGACGCCGCCGATGATGCCGATGATCTTGCTGAGGTCCGGCACGAACAGGGTCATGGCGAGCGTCACAGCGACCCACAGGACGGTCAGCAGCATCCGGACCCCCATCCCTGAGGAGTCAGCCAGGGCCCTGGGCCCACACGCCTGACCACAGCTCCTCCTCCAGAAATCCTGCATCACCGACCTGGAGGCCATGCCAGCACAGGCACACACAGGCTCCCGGGGCTCCAGCCCTTGCACCTGCCTGCCATTGGGCACCCTAGAGCCCCCTCCCCTTTGCCCTGCACACCAGAGGTTTACTCCCCAGGCACTGCGCTAGCCCTCAGGCAGTGCATGCCAGGCAGCCAATAGTGAGGGGCCACATGGTGGGTCGTCAAGGGCGGGCTTGAGACCAGGCTCCAGTCCTGACACTACCACCTGGTGACGCTGGGCCAGTTACCTAATTATCTGCCCCGTCTACTCTATGAAGCGGAGATGATGGCCGTCCCCACAGCACACCAGCTAGCAGTGCCTGGCACATACTAACCCATGATACATGTCGGTGCCCTGTGCTGAAGAGTGTCCCCACCGAGCCAGCCTCACCTCCCCAGGAAGAGCACAATGGGGTAGGCGGTCACAATGGAGACGGCAAAGAGGATTCGGGCAATGACGATGACCCCGTCGTTCCCCGGGTAGGACATCAAGATGTCTGCAGAAACTTCTGCCCCGAAGGTCAGGAAGCCATAAACACCTGGGAGGTAGGAAGGGTGGCAGCCAGGGAGCTGATTAGGAAACACTGTGCCCCATCCCGATTCTGATACACCCAGCTTCTACCACCTCTGAGGTTTTCCCTAAGAGCCGATAGAAGGTTCTAGAAGAGTTCTCTGCTCTGCCATTTCCCAAAACTTTCCTGTCTTCAGCCTATGTGATACTCTTTTTCTAACTCAAAAGTCCCGCTGGGCAAACTATTGCTAATTCTTCTTTCAAATAGCCCACCAGGGGCCTGTTCATGGAATGGGCACTGCTGGGAAGCACACAGCGCTCTGAAAACTGTATCAACTGTATCAGTGCCTTCCATGCACTATCATCCCACTCCAATAGCACTTAGAGAAAGCAGTTGGCAGTGCACCTATTTTCCTGATGGGGGAAACCAAGACCCAGGTGTCAACAATTGCCAGAATCACGCAGACAACTAGTTAGCACAGAACCAGGTCCAGCGCACCAGGCCCCTTGCCTGCCACCCAACGCTCTCTCTCTCACATCCCAGTCACTGGCCCTGTCCTGAGACACCCATCTCTGGCTGAGAGTTGTGGCTCATTGTGGTCCCATGATCCTGCAGGCCTTGGACTTGAACCATCTGGATGTGACTCTCAATGGCTGGGTCATGAACCTCCAATCCAGGGGCCACAGACTGACAGGGACCTGAGAGGTCACCCAGCAAGTTTCTTGAAACCATGGTGTCCAAGGCACCTGACACATTCTCTGTAGCCCCAAGAGTTCCCAAGTCAGTGGCCTCAATAGGCAACAAAAGAGCAAGCCTCTGAGCTGCAGGAAGGTGCCCAGAAGTCAGCCTGAGCCTGGGGCCTGGGCTGTGCCGTGGGCATGCTGTGTGACCTTGGGCACATCACAGCCCCTCTCTGAACCACACTTCCATCACCTTTAAAGACCCTTCTGCCTACAGCACAGGTTTGTGAGCACCCAAATCCATTGAATCCATGAGAGCACTTTGTAAATTGCTACCCAGATGTAATGCTATGATGACCACCATCATTATCACTGTCCTATCAGACAGCGGTGGGCAGCGGGCACGGAGCAGGGGCGTTGGAGACAGCCGGGCCAGGATTAGGGTCACAGCTATACTATATATAGTTTGGAGACCTTGGCCAAACCATGGAAGCCCTCTGAACCTCAGTTTCTTCATCTCTGAAATGGGGACTTTCCTATGGTGTGTTAAGGATTAAAAGAACAAAGACATTCAAACTGCATAGGACTGTGCCCAGCACACTGCAAGCTCTCTATAAATACTCATTATTTTTCCCATTTCTCCTGCCGATCCCTACACAGTCCCTCAGTGCTCCAGGTAGGGCCTTACCTATCAGCGAGTAGACAAGGCAGCAGGCCAGCAAGGACAGCAAGGAGACCAGGGCCCAGTGGGACAGGCTCTGGTTGCGCATGCTGCAGTAGATGGAGACAGCGGCTTCATGACACTGGAAGACAGAGGCGGGTACAGTGGGGCAGCTGGGCATTAGATTCACCTAGAACAATCTACAAAGCATCAGTGTCCCAAAATATAGGAAACCACCCAAATGTCCACCAATTGTAAAAGGCATAAGTAAATCGCCAGATATTCATATGGTGGAATATTACATGGCAATGAAAAAAGATGAACACACCACACCTCAACAAGAAAGAGCCTCAACAGCGCTAATGTTTTCAATGGAAGCCAGACACATGTTATGTGAAGTTCGAATTACAAGCCAAACAAGCCTGCACAGGGGCCATCCTGTGCATTGTAGGATGTTGAACAGCATCCCTGGTCTCGACCCACTAGATACCAGGAACATCTGCCCATTTGGGAGGGGCTGGAGGGCACGGGCCTCGGTCCTGATTGCAGCCGCTGTGGCAGCAGCCAGCCCAGGGTGAGCTCACAGTACCTTCTAGGACAACTAGCCTTGGGGTACCAATGTATCTTTCACTTGCTGCCCCCAGACTTCTGAGGTGGGACATAACTCAGCCATGAAAAGGAACGGAGCACTGACACACACTGCAGCGTGGATGAAGCTAAGAACACGATGCTGAGTGAGAGAAGCCGGCACAAAGGACCGCGCACCGTAGGACTCCATTCATACGAACCGCCCACAACAGGCAGAGACAGCGAGGAGACTCGTGGTTGCCAGGGGCTGAGGGAGGGACGAGGGGCTGGGAGTGACTGGCAACAGGTACAGGGTTCCTCGGGGGTGATGACATGGTCTAAAATGGACTGTGGCGATGGTTGCACAGCTCTGTGGATGTAACAAACACCACTGAATGTTGTACTTTAGGTGGGTGAAATGCATGCTATGTGAGCTCCATCTCAATAAAGCTATTTTAAAAAACAACAGAGAAGTCCAGAGTGTGGCCAGAGTGGCTGGGAGCAGAGCCTGCACTCCACCTCTGCTCCCCTAGGCCCCTCTTACCAACTCTGTGCAGGCTGGTGGGGGGTACCCCACTGCTACATGTGGGGGCAATGTTGGAACCAAGTCAGAGCTCCTAAGAGGTGGCCTCCCCTCGGCCGCACAGCCCCTGCAGCCTTGCCCCACTCCTCACCCCACTTCCCATCACCATCCACATCTACTCTCCGCCACCCAGATCTCTGATTCCCCAAGCCAGACCCTGGCAGCCCCGCTGCTGGCCTCAGCCCCACCCCACCCCCACCCTGCAATTCACATCTTTTCCCAAATCCCCATATTGCATCTGTGTTCCTAGAAACGTCAGCCAGGTCTCGGTTGCTAGGAGAATGGGATGAGGGAGCCGAGGCAAAGGTGAGGGGGACACCCCTGGTAAGCGTCTGAAAAGCAGCCCCCAGTACGAGTTTGTCACACCATATGGTGCTCAGGCGCTAGAGAGAGGGAATGTTAAGCCACATCCAGACAAAGAGTTGACAGCAAAATCACCGCTTTAGATCTTTCAAAATATTGGGTGTGCATGAAAAATGTGAGAAATTCCTATAAACGGCTTGCTAAGCCCAGAAGCTATGCCATCAATTCATTTATAAGGAAGAGAAATGGAAATGTTTCAGGATTTTTTTCAAAAATGTTTCTCAAAGAAAATGCAAGATGAAGAACAGAAACGGGAGCTAGCTGATGGATAAAGGCAGACAAAACTCAAGGTAGGAAGCTGAGATACCCCACTCCTGAACCAGTTCCCCCTCTGAACCTAATTTTGCTTTGGGGCAGTTTTGTTATTGGTGTGGTGGGTAGGTTTTTAGGAGACAGGCAAATCTTTCCTGAAATAAACAGTGAAAGAATGGAGTCAGCTGCCACCTGCTAGGAGCCTGGAAAACCTGGAGAGAGATCGGAAGGCAGGGAACAGAGCCCACACCCTCCACTGTACCTCCAGCACCCCGTGGGGCACCCACCTAGCAGAGCCTTTCCAGCTCTGCAGACCCACCAGGCACGCTCTCCCCCCCTCCCCCCCGTGCTGTCCTCTCCAGCTGGACTGCCCTCCCCTCGCCTCGCCGCCTCCCACACACTCTTCAAGAGGCCTTTCAGAAGTCAGTGCCTGAACCCCCCCAGGACCGTATCAGAAGCCCCTCAGCTGGACAGCCCATTCTCACGCCAAGACTTTCTATCAGAAATTCTGTGTATTCTGCCCCATGCCCCCGCCATGCAGCCACCTGCACACCTTCCAGACGCCCTTGCCTCCAAGCCTCTGAAGTAGGGTCCTTCCTTTCCAAGGCCCCTGGGGGAGAACCCACTAGGCATTCTGCCTGAGGAAGTGGGCAGCTCTAGGTGTCCAGGCCTGGTGAGGATTTCACAGAGGGGCAGGTGCTGAATCCCCACACTCTACCCTGGACCCAACAAGGATGCTGCTGCTGTTGGCTGCTAGAGGCAACAGGGTTCCCAAGTTCAGTGGCAATTCACTCCTCACTGAGCCCAGATTCCAACACACATGCACAGCCTCAGAAGACAGCCCATCGCATCCTGGAACAAGTCTTCAAACCTCTCCTGCCAGGGAGGCCACAGTCTCCCAAGGGAGCAGGGAGTCACCAGAGCCTGAAAATGCCACTCTCTTCAACACTGACACTAAGATTACCTGAAATCCAAAGCAGATGGTGGGGAAGACACTAAATACGGAGACCCAGGAGGCAGGACTGCAAATAGATGAGAACAGGTGTTTATTACAAGAAGTTAAATTCAAAACAACCTTCAACCTGAAGACAAGTTTTAAACAGTACCAGGAAGATGTAACTAAGCATGACTATAAAATGAATTTTTTGCCCAACTGGTTTTGCTCAGTGGCTGATCGTCAATCCATGAACCAGGAGGTCACCGGTTCGATTCCCAGTCAGGGCACATGTCCAGGTTGGAGGTTCAATTCCCCAGTAGGGGGTGTACAGGAGGCAGCCAATCGATGATGTTTCTCTCTCATCGATATCTCTATCCCTCACCCTTCCTTTCTAAAATCAATAAAAATATGCATATATTAAAAATGTATTTTTAATTATTGCATCCACTACCAGGTTTGGGGAGATGGGAAAGGATGCATGTTAGATGTTGCACTTCCTAGTTACATTTGTGCTGACATTTTGGTAACTTGACATTCTCTGTGCCGGAAGAACTTGGAAAGGGCATGACTAGCAGGACCTTCCTCTGAGGCTGCCTGTTCCCAGTGAGGTTAGGGGCTGGGGAGCACAGGCAGTCTCCATCAAACAGACCCTAACAGTGCAGGGATGGTTTGACCTCTGCCCAAGCTGCCAAAAAGGACAGATGTGTGCATGGGGCCGAATTTTCAGGATGGTGGCCCTCCAGCTTCCTTTAACAAGCAGCTCTAGGTACAAAGAACCCAGCACCTTTAGGGGCATATAGTGAAGTGGGGTGCAAACAACACCTGCTACAGAATCAGGGTTTCCTGGTTATACCAGAATAATGGCCCCCAAAGAGGCCCATGTCCCAATCCCAGGAACCTGTGAATATGTGAGCTGACATGATAGAAGGGAGTCTGCAGACATGAGTAAGATAAGGACTCTGAGATGTGGAGATTATCCTGGATCACCTGGCCCAACATAGCGCACGAATCCCTGAAATGAGCTTTTCCTGGCTTGGGCGCAGGGAGCTATGACTATGGAGGTGGGGTCAGAGAGAAGGAATGTTGCTGGCTTTAAAGATGGAGGCACGGCCATAAGCCACGGAGTAGGGGTGTCCCCTAGAAGCTGGGAAAGGCCAGGAGACAGATTCTTGCCTAGAGCTTCCAAAAGGAACACAGCCCTGCCAACACCTTGATTTTAGCCCAGCGAGGCCCATTTTGGAATTCTGACCCCCCAAGTTGTGAGAGAGTAAATGCATGTTGTTTTAAGCCCCCAGGTTGGTGGTAATTTGTTACAGCAGCCACTGGACACATGCACAGTGGTGTCTCCAGCTCTGTGCTGCCTACTGGCTGATTCCTAACTCTGGATGGGGCTCACGGTGCCTCCCCATCAGGCTGGGCCTCCCTGACTTTCTTCAACAGCCCTGTCCCCTGGCGCCAGACTTCCTATTCACAGCCAGGAGCAGATTGCCCATGTCTGCACTGCTCCACCAGCCTGCCTGCATCCTCTGGGCCCACACTGCAGCCCTGTGGAAGAGCCAGTTTGAGCTCCAGCCTCAGGTTCAGTCCCCAGAGCACAGGACTCCCCTCCCCTGAGTCCAGCCAGACTGCAGATCAGCAATGAGTCCAGCCCTCTCCTCATTGGTTCTTCCTTTTCTAAGAGATTGTCCATCAGCATGAACAGGGGCTGGGGCCTCTGTCCCTCTTATCCCCTGCCTATTCCTCTGCTCCCCTGATCAGAAGTACTCCTTCTTGCCTCCTTTCCTTTCTCCTGAACCCAATCCACCCCGGCCTTCACCTCTCTCCTGCCCTGACCAACTAATGCCACCAGGCTCCAAATCGATGCCCAGGGCTCAGTCCCCCGTGAGCCAGGAGCAGCATTTAGCAACAATCACACCAACCTTCCTGACATTTTGTTCACTGACACCTGAGACCTACCTTGTATTGTCCTCTATCCTGGTTGAATAGTGTCCTGTCAGGACGATCCTCTCTGTCTTACCCACCCTAGGAAATGGCACTGCCAGCCTTCCTGGTGCTCAGGCCCAAATTACATCCACGTGGCAAACTCAGGATGAAGCCTATAAATGTAATTAGCTAAATTAAGATAAGGTCATAGAGTAGGTTGGGTGCTAATGCAACGACCGGTGTCCTTATAGGAAGAGAAAAGAGACACCCAGGGCGAGGCGTGACGCTGGAGGCAGAGACTGGAGTGATGCATCATCCTGCAGCCAAGGATCACTGACAACTCCCAGGAGCTGGTAGAGACAGGAAGGATCCTCCCCTAGAGCCTGCAGAGGGAGCTCGGCCCTGCTCACCCCTCGATTTTGGACTTCTGGCCTCCAGAACTGAGACACGATACATTGCTGTTGTGTTAAGCCACCAGGTTTGTGGTCATTTGTCACAGCAGCTCCAGGAAGCTAACACATCTGACTCCACAGCCCTCCTGCCCCCTGACCACCTCCTGCTGGACAGAGCACTGTGGGTTCCCAGTACAGTCCTTGCCAGGCTCCTCACCTTAAATGCCATCTCTGAGCTGACACCAACATTTCTCCCTCCAGCCCAGGCCATTCTCTCTCTCTCTCGCTGAACTCCGGACACACAGGTCTGACAAGCTACCTGGCATCTTCATTCAGATGTTCAAAGCCGACTCCAACTTCACCCCC